ATAGTAACTTGAAATTTTTAAGTGAAATTTTAATACTATTTCGAGTAAATCCTCTCTCTATTATTATATAGTAATAAATAGACATAGATTTTTTCAACAACCTTTTTATATAGATGTGGATTTTTGATTTTGAATTTATACTCTTATGAAGGATTTTTCCCCCTTTTTTTTCATTTTCTATTTTAATGGCTTACTTGAGGCTCAAACACAGTTTGGCTCAAAATGAGAACTACAGTTATTTTGAAATTCATCATGGTTCTTGGAATGACAACTCTAAATTATTTTTAGAGAGATTTGATATATAATATACAATATAAGAGTAGCTGACAAATACAGTAGATTCTTGGCCATGCATTTCTAATCGGAAAAATTGCACCATTCATCCACTAATTATACCCGAGTTGTACTTTCGTCCTTTAATTATTATTTTTTTACTTTTGGTACATTATCATTTTTTTTTTGGCAATTTTCGTCCAAATCGAGGTTCCGGTGCTCATTTTTGCCGGAAAGCTGATGTGGCGCCCAGTCGGATTGTGTGCCACATCAGCTTTTCCGGTGCCACATCAGCTTTTCCGGCAAAAATGAGCACCGAAACCTCGATTTGGATGAAAATTGCCAAAAAAAAAATGATAGTGTACCAAAGTAAAAAAAAAATAATTAAAGGACGAAAGTGCAACTCGGGTATAATTAGTGGACGAATGGTGCAATTTTTCCCTAATCGGAAAAACATCTCCCAAAATTGTGTAAAGGGGTAAGAATTTGGTTAGCCAGGCTCTTAAAAGTATTGAAGCAATCACATCTCAATCAATTGAAACACCACACAAATGTTTAGTTAAATTAACCACATATTTGGATACACAATTACTTTGAGGAACAAAGTAAGATGATAAAACATTTGACTTACACGAATTACAACATAGCTTGACAATTAAAAAAAAAAAAAAGTAACTTAAATACAATTGGGATTGAGTGATCCTATTTTAATACTTCATCTAGCAGCTATATTATATTGTTATGAAATCATTGATAAATGGGCTATGAATGTTGAGGAGGTTTTCCCAACGTCTTTGGTTTCATTTATTGTCTAAAAAATATTCAAGATTTTGGCAAGCTTTTCCCTGACAAGAATGCCTGGAAAAGCTCAAAACCTCTTCTTGGCTGAAACAGAGGAACTTCATGTCCTGCTCCTCTCACTGTTGCAAATGTTAGTCCTTCATATATCTCAGTTCTTCCTCCAACCTATAGTGTATATGATGGTTATATTGAATTTGAGCTACTACTCATTATATATATGTGTGTGTGTAAATATATTTTTACCTGGCCATGAGAATACCAAGGATACCAGGGAGTTTTGATCTTGAGATTGAGATGGCTTAGTGCAAACCTAGTTGCAGTTACTGGAACAACTGAGTCCGTGTCCCCACTGCATATTTATTACAAATAACCAAAAATCAAAATTTTGTTCTTAAAAGGGTATGTGGAGAGGATTTGCATCATTTTTTTACCTGAACATCCATATTCTGAGCCCTGCAGCTATCAATTTTCTATAACTCGGCAGCATTGATATCTCACTGTCCTTCCAGTTCCGTAAAAGTACTTCACTGCAGTGTAAATCGGTTAATAATGCTCATTCAGTTGTAATCCCTTTTCCAAATTCTTACATTTGGAGATTAGAATACACAGTTGGACGAAGAAACCCAATTATGTTTGGTTGGGTATCCACGCAATACGTGTACACTAACGTAATTACTTTATTAAATTAACAAAGTAAATACAGCCTAAATTCAAATTCACCTCAGAGTGTTTCTCTCTACTTTTAAAGTTAAATGTTTTTCTATATCACAAGTTACACCGTGTTGAGAGGTAATTCGTGATACAGGTAGATATTCTGAATGGAATTCCATGCAAATATACAAATACATACTTGCAAGCTGTCCATTTGTAGGGGATTCCTGTAGAATTTGCATGTAGGGCCTTCTGCACATCCATCCTATTGTAGTATTTCTCGGCATAGTTTTCGGTACAAGGGTCGTACCCAGAAAAGCGTTGACTGATTAAGCTGTTCTTAAGCCTTAGAGAGAACTTTGGCTTTCTCTGTGAGTTTGCAGCTTTGCATGCAGGTGTATAAATGCTGTATTCATCAATGTCCCCGAATTCATGGTTCATCGCGTAACTCACTGCATTATCGCATTTCTCGGACGTGTTTTGTGATCTGAAATCGCACGATTTTAAGATCAGTTTGTAAGTTTTGTCTGATATCATGGCGTGGCTCCACCAGTATGTTACTGTCCCAATGTTGTCATAGTAATTGTCCGTCACTGCATTCCCAACCTGCGTATTTTTCACACATATATTTCATTTTTTATTTTTTTTTTTCTTTTTGGAAGTATTTAAGGTGTATGGAAGTGTGCTTACGATGAATCCTTTGAGATTGATGATTGGTTTGGAGGAATTGTTGTTGTAGTCGTGTATTGCCCGTGCTAATTGTGGAACATAATGACCTGCTTAAGTTTAAGCAGGATGTTTCATGTGTTTAGAATTAGAGTAAATTTACATTAATTAACTCCCACAAGTCGAGTTTATTTATTTTTTTCTTTAAGCATTTTTTTTTTTTTTTATTTAGGTTTCGATTTGCACAATTGATCATTTTTTCCATGTTCTGCTAGCTAATTTTGTGGTTCCAATTAAAAGAAATATGTTGTTGTGTCTAAGTATAGTTGACCTGCATAACTCTCCCCTGAGATATAGAAGTCTCTGTATTTGTATTGTGGAAATCTATCCATCCATCTTATCAAGAAAATCAGCGCATCTTGAGCTGTGCCAGCAGAAAAAAATAAATAAAATAAAATAAAATAAAATAAAATTTGTTTGTAGACATGAATGAAAACAGATTGTACAAGGTTTGTGTTTACTGAAATGTATACCTGTCCTTTTGTCCCCAGAATCCTTAAGATTAGAGCTTGTGTTTGTGTAAGAGAAACCGACACCAGCTGGCGACTCGAGAAAGAGGATATTTGCCACTGTAAATAAAATAAAACTCAAAATGTTGGTTAGGTTTGAGCAGGCAAAGTCTATGGATATCTTGAACCTTTGGTGCTGAAAAATGGATAATAGTTTTACAAACTGTGTAATATCATCCATTCACAGACGAAGTCAAACTTGAATATTTTTATAGTCTTACCGTTTTTATTCTATTTTATTGGCAGATTGGATCTTTTATTGAACAATTTTAGCTTGTGACATTTTACTTGTTTAGGTAATTTGATCAAAGATAGTATCTGAATGTGTGGCGATTGATTTCAGATTATTTCTTTATTTTATTTTATATTTTATTTGGACTGTTTGGTTTTACCTCTGTTCCAGGAGTATTTGTTGAGATAAAGAGAAGAAGCAGTTTTGTTGATTCTGAATGGTCCAATCTCTTCAGATGCTCCATATGCTATTGATGAACATCCAGGTCCTGCCCAATCCAATTCAATTTAATTTAAAGTAATTAAGTTGTTTGTTTTATGATAATGTTAAACTTATGTTTTAAATTTTTAATGTACAATGTCTGAAACTGTAAAAGAAAAAAAAAAAAAAAAATATTAGGAGAACAAGTGCAAGGTTAATAAATATCCTTGAATGACATGGCATGTGGATACAGTACTGAAGTGTGAAGAACTTAATTGCATACATAGGTTGTTTATATACTGCGAGTGTTCACACTAGGGGCGGTACCGTAATTAACCAACTCTTTAAGTGTGAACGCAAGAAACCAAGTAATTACGGTACCGCCCCTAGTGTGAACGCAAGAAGTTTCGTAATTAACCAACTCTTTAAGTGTGAACGCAAGAAACCAAGTAATTACGGTACCGCCCCTAGTGTGAACACT